CACTCTCAAGTTGGAGAACCACTTTAAATCTCCACCCTTGGGGCGAGGCTTCCCACCCGTGTCACATGAGCCTTGGATGGGTTGCAGGTGTGAGGGTCCCCCTGGCCCAGCGGGGAGGAGGCCAGAGCCTGCAGGCTAACCACAGGCAGTCTTGTCTTTACCCTGCTTTTTGTTACATATTATTTTCTGAGTGTTGTGAAGGGGAAGAAGGCCAGAAAGCAGTGCCTCAGGGAACCCAGGAACTTCTCACTTATTTTTTACCTCGAAGTACAGTTCATTTCCAACGTTGTGCTACTTTCTGCTGTGCAGTAGGGTGATTCAGTTATACATATATATTCATATACATGTATATGTATTCATACACATATATCCTCCTTTTAATATTCTTTTCCATTACGGTTTATCCCGGGAGATTGGATACGGTTCTCTGTGCTATACAGTAGGACCTCGTTGTTTATCCATTTTATATGTAATAGTTTGCATCTGCTAACCCCAGACTCTCAGTCTTTCCCTTCCCACTGGCAACTGCAAGTCTGTTCTCTCTGTCTGACTTCTCACTGGCTTAAAAAAAAAAAAAACTGGTAATAATAATAACAACATTATTTTAACAGCAAGACAATATTATTTACTGAATGTCCATAATGTGCTAAGCAATTTACATATATATATTTGTTGAAATCTTATAGCCATCCTATGATTTAATTATTAGCCCCATTCTACAGACATGGCAAACAGGGCTTGGAGAAGAGAGATCCTCAAGGTCATGCAGTCAACAGACACAGGTGGTGTGGACACTCAGGTCTTTCTAATCCTGTGATGCCTGTGTTCTTAGAGGTCAGGGTTAACACCACTGCTTCTAACATTGTTTGCTCTATGCCAGGCATTGTTTTAATCCGTGATATGCGGCTTCAATTACTGCAACTATGACTATTCCCACTTTACAGATGAGGAAACTGTGGCTCAAATAAATTATTTTCCCCAGGATATAAGCTGGAACCAGGATTTGAACTCAAGAGCTCTGGCTTGAATCTCCCTGGTGGTCCAGTGGTTAAGAATCTGCCTGCCATTGTGTTCAGAGCAAAGCTCAGACTGCCTGAACACAACAGCCAGGCACTGGGATGCCAGGAACCCGTGCTGGATGGATACAAGCTGACTAGTCGGAAGACTCCTGATTCTAAGTGTTTGTGATTTCTATATTCTTCTGGCTTTCCTGAAATTTCTTGGATTTCTTTACTGCACGTGTGTTGGTTGTTCTTGTAACTTAAAACGGAAAGGATGAAAGAAGCGAAAAAAAAAAAAGAATTCACCTGCCCATGCAGGGAACACAGGTTCGATGCCTGGTCCGGGGAGATTCTGCAGCCCTCAGGGCACCTAAGCCCATGCGCCTCTACTATTGACCCTGTGAGTCACAGCTATTGAAGCCCCAGAGCTCGCGCTCTGCAACGAAAGACGCCCCGCGAAGAGAACTGGCGTTCGGCACAGTGGCCGAGAGAGTGGCCTCTGCTCAATGCAACTAGAGAAAGCCCTCACGCAGCAATGAAGACCCAGCGCAGCCGAATACACACATACAGACACACAGACATAAAAAGGACCTTCCCTGAAGGTGGGGAGAGGTAGTATTAAAATACCATCAAAAGTGGCCTCTCACTTATTAAAAAAAAAAAGAAGAAGAAGTTTGGCTCTAGTTGAATGCTTTTAACCATCAGGAAAGCCGCCCAGTCCATGGAGGATGGAGACGAAGACGCGGTGCTGACCGTTCAGGGATGCAGTAACTTAGCGACCTGCACCCTGCAGGAGTGGGGGCGGCGCGGGGCTCCGGCCGGCGCAGGCAGGGGGTCTGCTGGCTCCTCCCCCAGCTGTGTTTCCGGCTCACACCTCCGCCCCAGGCCTGGCCGAGGTGCCTCCCGTCAGCGGCGCACGTGGGGCTGCTCCGCGCTCGGCAGGCTCTGGGGCACAGCTGCTTCTGGGTCACATTCCTTTACGCACACATCATCAGGGGCTGCCGCCTGCTCCCGCGGCCTGTCCCCACCTCGGGGCCACGAAGACCGTGAGCCCAGCAGTGAGACGGGAGAGGCCAGCGCGTGCTCCAGCCACGGCCACCCCACCACTGACAGTTTTGGTCAGAAGCCGGGGCTCGCGTGTGAGGAAGCTGGGATCCTGACCTTCAGGACGAGATGGGAAGAGCTCAGACAGTCAGAGAGGCACATTCTGGGATGTATATGATTTTTCCACACACGCACACATGCACGCAGCAGCTGGAGTCGGGTGGGGAGAGAACGGAGCTGGGGAGGCGGGGTCGACACGAAGCTTGAGTCCTGAAGTCATCTCTAATTTTGTAGCCTGTCTCCTGATGCTTGCCCTGGGCCCTTCTGCGGTTCATTCTGGCGTCCCCACCATCCCTTCACGTTCCTGGCTATTAGCATGGACCGGCCACCATGCTTCCCCTCTGCTCAAATGGAAAGGTCTGAAGTTCTAAAGAACAAGAGGGTCTCCTGGTGGTGGCGGTGGTGATGGGGAGGGGCGGTAAGCTTCTGATCACAGCTAAGAGAAGGTCACTCCAGAAGCCCCTGGATATCAACACTTGTAAGAATCTGTGGACTTTAGAGGGTTCTGTTCCTTCTAGTCTAACCTTGCGGTGCTTACTACATCAGGTTGTTTGGAAGCATCTGGGAGGTGCGTGGGGCCGAAGACCATACAGAAGGTTTGTCCTCGGGCCCACCCGCGACCTTTCAGGTGCGGGAAAGGGGGACAGCAGCTGCTGTGGAGTGACAGAGACCAAGGTGATGTGTCACAAAGTGATGGCAGGCTGTGATCGGTACCCAAGGGATCCTCTTCTAAATCAGGTGTCAAGCTCCTTACGGGGGTCAAGGTGGGGGGGGGGGCACAGGAACTATATCTTATTCGTCACTGCACCCCCCAGGTGTGCGGNCCCCCCAGTGTGCGGATTAGATCCTGGCACAAAACTGGCACTCAATAAATAGTTCATGAGCGACTTGTCTGGCGGTCCAGTGGTTAAGACTTCACCTTCCAGTGCTGTTTGATCCCTGCTCAGGGAGATAAGATCCCACATGCCTTGGGGTCAAAAAGCCAAAACATAACACAGAAGCAATATTGTAACAAATTCAGTAAAAACTTAAAAAAAAAGGTCCGCATAAGAAACCTTTAAAAAATATTTGATAAGAGGAAATACTGAGACCTGCTATGTCGTGGATGAACCTTGAAAACATAAGGCTAAGTGAAAGAAACCGGTCAAAAGGACCATATATGGTGTCATTCCATTTAAGTGTCTTGAGCAGGCAAATTTATAGAGACAGAGTGTAGTTGTCAAGGGCGAGGGAGGATGGGCGGGGGATTAGGGAGCAATGGCTGAGAGCAGCAGGATTTCTATTGGGGGTAATTAAAATGCTCTAAAATGGATTGTGGTGATGTGAGTATATGGCTGACCCTTGAACCTGGGTTTCCGCTGCGCGCTCACTTACATGTGGACTTTTTCAGTAGTGAATCCACAGACGCTGAGCCTGCGCACACGGAACCACGGGTGCAGAGGTTCTGTGTGCGTGCAGAGCGGACTGAGAGGTGTGCTTGGATTTTCAGTTGCGCAGAGGGGTCGGTGTCTCACCTCCTCTTTGCTCACTAGTCAACTCTACTCTGTATATATACTTGATCAATTGATTTAGGGAAGCTGGGCATTTATAAAAAATTATTATTTAGACTTTCCTAGAGCAGTTTTAGGTTCACAGTGAAACTGAGGGGATTTCTGAAATGCCTTCTGCCCCCACACATGCACAGACTCCCCCATTACACATTTGCTACAGTTGTTGAACCTACACTGATGCATCATCACCCAAAGTCCACAGTTCAGATTCACACTTCCCTCTTGGTGTCCTGAGTTCTGTGGGTTTGGACAGATGGATTTATCACGTATGCTGTGTGCTGCGCTTAGTCGCTCAGCCGTGTCCGACTCTTTGTGACCCCCTGGACTGTAGCCCTCCAGGCTCCTCTGTCCATGGGGATTCTTCAGGCAAGAATTACGGCAGTGGGTTGCCATGCTCTCCTCCAGGGCATCTTCCCATCCTAGGGATCAAACCCAGGTCTCCCGCATTACAGGGAGGTTCTTTACCCTCTGAGCCACCAGGGAAGCCCAAGAATACTGGAGTGGGCAGTCTGTCCCTTCTCCGGGGCATCTTCCTGACCCAGGAATTAAACCGGGGTTTCCTGCATTGCAGGTGGATTCTTTACCAGCTGCGCTACCAGGGAAGTCCATCTGTCATGTATAAGACAGAATATTATTCTAAAAATCCTTTGTTTGGGCATTTTTCAAAAAGTGAGATTTTTGCTACAATTCCATTTGCTGCCTTAGCTCAAATTTTCAGCTAAATAAGTAAAAGTTAACTGAGGCATAGCCCAGCTACCTCATTTGGTTAAAAAATGTGAACAACAGTGAAACCAAACACAGAAATTAGGGGGTTCTAACTATTTCTGCCAAGTCTTCCTGGTTCTGGACTAATATTGAAAACCACCTTTTAGCATAAATAATACAATTTATCTCTCCGTCAGTCGGGGTTTATCACCTTCATGCTTTCCAGCCTTGAACCTCAACCCCCTTCATCACAAGTTGCTGCCAAAGCTTGCGCTGTATTTTCTCAGAATGTCCTCTAGGGATGTGTGTGTGTATATGTGTGTGTGTGCGCCCGTGTGAGTGTGTGAGCCGGTGTGAGCGTGTTTGCCTCTTCATCTCACCACTCCCCCAACTCTATCTGCAGACCCTACGGCTCTCCACAGAAACCACCAAAGATCATTTGGCTTCCTCCTGGAGATGCAGAAAGTGAATATTATGTTTTGGGGCAAATCCCAAATAGACCCCTCTCCAAACGCCAGTTCCGTCCCTATCAGTTTTACTCTCTCCTGACGGTGTGTTTGTCTGCATACCTTGCCATTATCTCTCAGAAGCCCGAGCCAGACACGGGGCTGAGTTGACTTCAGGAGCCCGGGAAACATACCTGGCGGCCTTCTGAGTGAGCTCCAGGGGGAAATCCGGGCACAGTAATTGCAGCAAGCAGTGATATTCCCTCATGGTCAGCAAATCTGTAGCGAAATGGAGAGGAAGGCGTCAGACCTCAGAGTGGGAAGTCACTGCGGTCTTTTCGGTCATTTCAGGGGTTTCAGGCCTACCCTAGGTAGAACTGCTCTTTTTTAAACAAATTTTTATTGGAGGATAATTGCTTTACAGTATTATCCTGGTGTCTGCCGCACATCAACATGGATCAAGATGAGTCACTATTAAGGCTGCGTTAACCCAAGGGTGAGATTTTACGTCAATATTTCTACAAAGTTTTTCCAGGATGGGAGGCACCCAGCTACAACATTTTGGCCAAAGGAGCTTCACTGGTTTGAGAGATGGTTGGGTAAGAAGGGAGAATTAGAGGGGCAACTTTATTAGCCTTCTCAGTTTGATTTTCCTGGTGTCTGAAAATCCGCAAAAATGAGTCATTTCAAAGCTGGCTAAATTTGCTGAAATTCTCTGGCATGGTTGCCTTCACCACAACATGCCCAAAGACCACGCACAGAATATCTGGAAGCAGTGCTGAGGCAGAGGCAGTCTTGCAACATATGGGGGAGAAGAATATAGCAGGGCGACCCACAGCCCTTCTTGCTCTGTCATCCAGTTCTGCGCAGGCTGGCTTCTTTTGGATGCCCACACACAAATCTGGTCATCCTACCGTAGGAAGCCAAGACCCAAGATCTACAATCAAGGCGACCAAATGACTCCTGATATACAGAAGCAGTGCTTTGGGAGAGATGAGCCAGGATGAGGCTCCGTGGCTCAGCAGAAAACCCAGAGAGCTTTGTAGAAAGTCAGGGGAGAGGAAATACACTGACGCTTAAAAGTTGTTTTGGTATGATTTGAGAGAAGAGCGTTGAAACATGTATATTACCATATGCAAAACAGGTAGCCAGTGTGCCTTTGACGTACGAGGCAGGGTACCCACAGCCGGCGCTCTGGGACAGCCTGCAGGGACCGGGTGGGGAGGGCGGCGGGAGGGCTCAGACAGAGGGACACGTGTACACCGGTGGCCGACATGTTGACGTATGGCAGAAACCATCACAACGTGGTAAGGTAATTATCTTCCAATTAAAATTAAAAAAGAAAAAAAGGTTGTTTTGTTACTGCGTGTCCTAAGCCTGAGGGATTTTAGACCAGTCAGGCAGCTTCAGTCCACAAGTATTCCATATACCAAAGCATTTCAAATACGGAAGGACGTGCTGACGGTAAAGCAGGATGGAGCAGCCCAGAAGCCCTCCTAACTGGGAGCCTGGTGAGAGAAGGGAGCCCAGAGGGCAAGGCCACACTGAGGGAATGAAGATGGTGATCACAGGCGCTTGGTTTCTTTGGACCTAAGTTAGCTCAAGCCACAGGAATCCAGATCTCCTGTCCCTGCAAGTTCGGTTGATGCTTTTCCAAGATAAAAACCCCAAATCCCCAGGGACAGGCCTGGGTTTCCTTCTCCTTTTTCATCAAGGCTCAATTCAAGGTGAGGGCACAGAGTCAGACTAACCACACCGCCAAAGTCAGGGACAGCAAGGGGACAGACTCCGCGTCAGCGTGGGTCAGAGGACCAAGACGGCTTCTGTGGCCTCCGTCTCAGCCACAACGGGGCGTGCACTTTCCTCTCCTCACTCGCCTGACCTCGGGCACCAGCCTGGTCGGAGGTTTTGTTCTTCAGGGGAAAGAGTAACAGCTACTTGTGGGCTCGCAGGCTTGGGGTGAGGGACAGGAAAAACGAAATGGAGAAAAGCCACTGAATCGAATGTGTTCCTGCTTTCTTCTCGCTCCAAAGCTCCCTGTGCAGAGAGGAGCGAGTTCTGTCTTTGAATCATTAAAGCTCTTCTAGGCTAAGATTTAGAGAGGAAATGGCAACCCACTCCAGTATCCTTGCCTGGAGAATCCCATGGACAGAGGAGCCTGGTGGGCTACAGTCCATGGGGTCACAGGAGTTGGACACGACCAAGCGACTGAACTGAATTGAACTGATGCTAAGATTTGGTGGATGGATCTGATACCATTCTTGGGGTGGGGGGGGCAAAGTATTTCCCAGTTATTCATATTTATCCCCCACATTATCTGCAAGATACTCTTGGGAAGATAAACAGTGTGAAGGAAAATGAGAAGCTGAGAGAGAGTTGTGACACCTGTCCCCCGCCCCCAACCCTGCTTAATCAAGAAAGACAACGCTGGAATGCCATCTTAGCCTCTAGCCTCCTGGTTTTCATGCCCTCAGCATTTGTAGGTTCTTGATGATATTCTAACTCATGTGTTTCAAATACTTGCTTCCTAAGGATAGAAGAATAATTTACAAAAATAATTTTGTTCTTCTCCAAAGCATTGACAGTTCTGGGGAATACTAAATACATCAGAAAAACAGAATACATCCTGTTCACCACTTCTGGAACTTGACATTCCCACACGTAAAGTGAGGAAGATAGTCAGATAAAGAGATGAGTGAAAGTGCAGGCAAACACACAACTGTGGCTACCTTAATTGTGGAAGACAGAAGTTCTACTTCTTTAAGACAGCAGACTCAGGGTATTAAAGCAGACTCAGGATAATATCAAGGCCAGATGCTTTCAAGGGAGAGGCATCTGTCACTTGGAAACGCTCCTGGGTTGCACAGTGCGTATCTGGGAGAAGGGTGAGCAGTTCGGTCTCGTCCCCGAATCAGAGCATTGATGAGCAAAGGAGAGCTGTTCTCCTCCTGACCCTCTGGCTCGGGTTCAAACCTTGGCTCTTCGGTTCCCCAGGTGGGCAACCTTGGGCAAACTGCTCAGTCTCTATAAATCTCAGTTTCTCATCTGTGAAACGGAAATGATGACACCTACCTTTCAGGGCTCAAGTCAAGATTAAAAGAGATGATGTCTAGAAAGTACTCGGCAGAATGTCTAGAACACAGTAATGCCAAACAATAGGAGCTATTTGGTTTTGTTTTTAGTGTTCATTCATTTACTTATTTAATTTCTGGCTGTGTTGGGTCTTAGTTGTGGCACTTGGGATCTTCAGTCATGGCATGGCGGATCTTTAGTTGGGCCATGTGGAATCTAGTTCCCTGACCAGGGATTGAACCCAGGCCCCCTGCAACAGGAGCATGGAGTCTTAGCCACTGGATCACCAGGGAAATCGCTTGGTTTTGTTTTTAAATCCTGGGGGCAAAGGCAGGAGATGAGAGGAGGAAGAAGTTTCTTGCTGAGTTTAAAGCTTAAACCCCTAGGAGTGTTCTGCCTTGAAAATTCTGTCAGGTTGTTTGAGTCAAACCTGTTTTTGAATATTCTTCTGCAGTCTGCATTTTATGCCTCCTCCATTCCCAGGAAGATGCCCTGGAGAAGGAAATGGCAACTCACAGCAGTATTCTTGCCTGGGAAACCCCATGGACAGAAGCACCTTATGGGTTACAGTTCATGGTGTTGCAAAAGAGTTGGACATGACTTAGCAGCTAAACAACAAGAACAACAATATATGGAGGAGGGCATGGCAGCCCACCCCAGTATTCTGGCCCGGAGAATCCCATGGACAGAGGAGCCTGGTGGGCTACAGTCCGCGGGGTCGCACAGAGCCGGACACGACTGAAGGGACTTAGCACGCACACCATTCCCAACAAGCTGGCGGCCTCCCCAGCTCAGAGGCTCCAGCTCAGCCGTTAGTTAATCCTAAATGCTCCTGCCTTTGGGTCCTTTGGCTCTAAAGAGCTCTCCAAGATCTCGAAGATCAGCCTTGCAGGCAGCCCCTTTGTACTTCAGGAATAACAACAGTGAGTCAGACAGTCACTGAGCTCTGTGCTCAGGCTCTGAAGTAGCTTGCTTAACCTCACGACAACCTCATGAGATAGACTCCAGTAGTCCCAGCGTCACTGCACAGATAAGGACATGAAGCCTTAGAGAGATGAAATTATCTAGAAAGTGGGGAGAGAAGGGTCCAGAGCGTGGGAGACAGGAGGAGCATGTTTGGCTTCCCAGAGCCCTGGCTTCCTAAGCTGGGAGGGGAAGTGAAGTGAGTTGCTCAGTCGTGTCTGACTCTTTGCAACCCCATGGACTGACTATACAGTTCGTGGAATTCTCCAGGCCAGAATACTGGAGTGGGTGGCCTTTTGGGCCTAAGGGCTGGATGGGCTTAATGATGATAATAATACTTAGGGTGAACACTTACTGGGCATTTACTCTGGACCAGACACAGTTCTTCCAAGGGTTTTTTACTTGTGCTGTCTCATCTAATCTTCACTGTGGTTATCCCCATTTCACAGACACAAAAACTCAGATCATGCTTAACTGGTGGAACTGGACTCCAAGCTCTGGCAGTCAGGATCCAAAGTTTACCCAACTAACATTTTCTGCACCTTGATCTTATCAACGGTAATGGGTGAAGGCTTAAAAGCTTGTTCTCCACTCCAAACAAACTGTAGGGACTAAATAGCTCCAGGTGAACTCGATCAAGGAGATAATTCAAGTGATTTGGGATTTTTTTTGCATGTAAGAAATTGAGTCTGGAAGGTTCTAATTACTGTCAACAGGAAAGACTGCAGCTCCAGCATCGCGGCCTGTGCTGGGCCGGGTCCACGGGGAGGCGGAGATGAGTACACCTGTGCGAGAAGCTACACCGCGTATCCCGCCCACTGGCCGGGGCGCTCCACCCCGACAGGTGCAGGAAGGTAAGCGGTGTGCACCGACAGACGCCTTCTCTAAAGGAATCCCCCCACAATTAGGAAAGCTTCACCCAGCAGGTCCTCAAAGTTCAAAGGCAAAGACATGAGACGACTTTGGTATAAGATTAAAATCATAACATCCCCCGCAAACTGGTGCTCCTCATTTTGTGGGTGGCCAGAGCTGTTAATCTTTCTTATTCTAAACCTTGTAGTAAGAGTCCCATTGACTGTGCCCAGCTTGAGGACCAGAGGTCTTGACCCCGCTCCATCCTATCATCTCAGGAGGCGGCTCGGTACTGCATTGTGGTGCATGGCATGGACTCTGGAGTTAGACTGCCTGAGTCCAAATCTGAGCTTTGCCACTGATTTCAAATTAATGACCTTTAAGCATTCTAT